TTCCGTGCCGGATACATCAGCATAGTCCGAATTTGCCGCATTGCTGAGAGCTCCTATGCAGATACTGCACTGCCCTTCAAACATGGCAAGGCGCATTCCCTCTGGTAGTACAACAGACTCGGATGAGCAGTTAACTACCCATAATTTAGTTTTTTCCTCGGTGAGAGACACAACGCAGCGCGGCAGAAAGATGTTTTTCTTCATGCAAGGCAAAGGCAACGGCTCAATCACAATATCAGGAGAACTGAAACTCGAGTCGGCATTCGAAGCAGCAACGGGCACGCTGGCAGTAGACCATGCCGGTAGAATAGTGTCTTTAACTACAACGAGTTTGTCGTCTCCGCTACGCTGAGGCTGCTGGGCGAGGGCGGACAACAGAACCTCGCCTGCCCCGCAGTCGACAGTCGCACGGCACTCTTGCAAGAAGTCAATTCCAAGGATAACGTCATGCGTGGAATGAGCGAGCACTGCGAATTCTGTCTTGAACGCTTTACCAGCAACACGAACAGACACAGTGCACACACCTACTGGACACAAAGCCGTGCCGCCGACTGCTCGAAAAGTAGAAGATTTATCCCAATAAAACATAACCTTGCGGCCAAGTCTCTCCTTGAAAACTAAACTCATTACAGAAACTGTTGCACCGGTGTCTACCAGAGCCATCGTGGGAACATCGTCAATGAATACATGAACCTTGTTGTGAAGCATGTGAACTAATGGAGGCATACTTGTGTGCAAAGCGGTACGTCCAGCGACCTCGCCTCCATCGGCCGCGCCGGCTAGTTTCCCGGTGGCGGAGAGGAAAGCCGCGGCCGGGGACGGGGAAATGGGGACCGTCGCTGGCGTGTGGTAGGTGGCGTCAAGCTCCTCACAGAGGCAGGCGAGTCACTGCAGATGTTCGCCCGGTGCCCGTGCTTCTGGGCAGTTGAATCCGAAGGCCAGTAGGCGTAATCGGGCTGTTGACTTCGCCGTGCAAGCATCGCTGGTCGGTCAAAAAACGTCGTGCGTGGGCGACGTCGCGATGGGCAAAACCGGGCGATATGTCCGCGAACACCGCACTGGTAGCACACGGGGCGTTCCCGAGGCACATCGAATGCTGCGGTGTGGAGAGGATGCTCAGGTAACTGTTGCCACTCGGACACAAACGGAGGCGGTTGGCTGTCGTAGCTATGACTGCTGCGGGGCGCATAAGACGACTCGACGTAAGTAGCCTGTGGTGGCGGAGCCCTCAGCCGTGGACTGCGGGTGGAGTAACTGCGCTCGTCGAAACTCGCAGCATTGATGCTTGGGGATAGTGTATCACACTGCGAGTCTCCAGCTTGCATGGGAACAGAGACATGGCGACGCAGTTCCTCCCATACAATCTGGCGAATGGTGGAGGAAAGGTCGGCAGGTAGAGAATTCTGGCAGACATCGACGGTGGCAACAGTCGTGACGTTGGCCAGACGTCCGAACTTCGATGTGATGCGACGAGTTTTAAGAGCCTCGAAGGTTCGGCAGTGGTTAATCACGTGGGCCACGCATTCCAGGCTCTCCTTGCCAATGAGGAAGTGGTAGACGTCATCGGCGATGCCCTTGAGTATATGGCCCACTTTGTCTTCTTCCGTCATGTGGGCATCCACCGACTTGCACAACTTCAGAATCTCTTCAATGTAGGTTCTGCATGTCTCACCGGTGACTTGAGCCCTCTGCGACAACGTCTGCTCGGCACGTTTCTTCTTCGTTGCTGGGTCTCCAAAGCATTTCTTAATTTCCTCCACAAACTGGTCCCAGGTTGTCAATGTGTCTTCATGGTTCTCAAACCATACCAGCGCCGTGAAATCGAGGAAGAGCCCCACGTGAGACAGCTGGCTAGACGCATTCCAACCGTTCGAACAGCTCACTCGCTGATAGTGGCTTAGCCATTCGTCCACGTCATCGCCGGGTTTCCCTGTGAAGGTTCGCGGCTCCCTGTAGTGGTAGGGCGACGTCCTTGCGGCTGGTTGCTGGTTGTCTCCGTCCGAGCTCATTTCTTGAGGTAATGGTGCCAAGCCCGCTAGTCGACGGCTGCGGCGAAGCTCGTGTAGCGGTTCCGTCGTTAGGGGACGGCTCCTCTCCGGTATCACTTGGTAGTAGCTAGCTTACCCAGCACCTTCCACCACAATTGTGACGATGGAACGCGTTTATTTACAATATGGGTAATGCAGAGGTGTAGCTCAGCCAAGGATCCACAGCGTCGCTCGCGAGCCAGTCGAGTCTCTTCCTCCTCCTCGTCGAATCTTCGCTAGCGCGTTTCAATATGTACAGAGGATTCACTTCATGAATATGTGGGAATTTTTTTTGTGCTTACATTTGCCACTGCCGTTGTCCATCTCGTGTCTAGCGGCGGAAACTGATAGATCAGATGTTACTCTTCCACAGCGAACGACAAGGAAAAAAGCCACAATCTCCACCGTCCCGGTGCGGAGCTGAAGGGGAGGAAAAGGTCAAATTCGCGGGCGGGTGAGCGAGTTTTACAGGAGAGGGGAGGTTGGCTGACGCGCAAGCTCGCGCAAGTTGCTGCGTGGCCGAGTTCATTAGTTCCTGTGGAGAAAGGAGGCAGGGAGACACGCACCCATGCGCGTGTTGGGAGGCGGCTCTCGGAGAGTGTAAGGCGCGAGTTTTGAATTGCCGCGGCTGTGATGAGACGTAAACCATTGCGCACTATGATATTCAATTCATGTATACCAAAATTATCAGTAAATGCTCGTTGTGGGCAAAGAATGGTTTGTTCTATTTATTGTGAGGAAATTTTTGCTTCGTTAAAACGAGGTTCTAAATACATGGGCGTTTATGGGAACTTCAAGGGGAGTTACGATTGCTTTATTATATTCTTAGTTTGTTGTATTCCACTTCGTTATAAGGATTTTCGACTGTACACATTGATCTCGCACTTACAATGAACCTTTCTGAGCACCGCCGATCGGTTACAGTCAACAAAGTCAGCGCTCCAGCGACTTCCAGAAACGCCACTTTTGACCACCGATAGGTCATCGGCAAGGTGCCCATAAATTCTTATTAAACGTTGACCCTGCTTCTGCACCCCTTTAGCTGTTGCTTTCCTTGACCATTTTTTGTTAGGCACGCCTGCATCCTTTGTCCCACTGCTACTCTGAGCACCCAGCATCATAAGACGAGGCTTGTGTTTTCACACTTCCGTCTATCTTTCAAAGACTGGTCGGCTGATTCAGGCACGTAGGCAGGCATTTGGGACCAAGAGGGGCACCCCCTTAAAGGGGCCCTGGAGCACTTTTTGAGCATGATCAGAAAACGCTGCCTATTGGTTGTAGGAGCTCCCGACAACATTCAAGCCAAATAATATAGCGTAGCACGTGGCCTGGAATTCACAATTAACTATCAAAATCAGCTAAAAATTGCTCTTTCTTCTCTCAACAAATGGCGGAATATGCCCAAAAATCACACGCGAATTACACATCTATCAGCCATTGTCTGATTTGAAAATGGCACGCTCGCTCGTTACAGAGATCGCTGCGGGATGTCGCGACTTGTCCACGCGTGCGCACGCGATCACACTGAAAAAGTGGCGCATTCTAAGAAAAAAAGAAAAAAGTGTTCAAGGCCATGAGGCGTGTGTGATGTTTTTCTGTGGCCCTGGCATTTCTCCCCGCTTAGCTTCCAGCGCTTTCGTCGGGACGAGAGAAAAGAGAATGGAATTGCAGCATGCGACAAATTTCTGTAACTCCACTCACACTGGATGGATTCTTAAATTTTTAGCACCGTCGAATTCGTGAGGCAATAACCTTTTCCAGTAAATTCATTTCGCAGTTACTTGAAAAAGCGTTTCAGGGCCCCTTTAAAATGGCCATTTGTTTGCTGTCTATGCCATGGCAAAAAAAAAATTTCGGGGGTGGGGCACATGCCCAGTGTGCCACCCCCTGGGTACGACCCTGGGCTAACTAGTTTCCCTTCAGTTTTCTATTTGCTGGTTTTGTTGGCATCACAGGCCTGGAGTGACCAGATCATTTGCCATAATTGTTGGCCATCAACTATATCCGATCGTCTGCCTCTTGTCTGGATTGGTGTCGTATCGTTCCAGTGCACGCGTGTACGCTACCCACCGACCTTGATAATTCCATGTTTAGGACCTGTTTTCGCTCACTTCGCACTCTTCCCAGCATGCCCTCTGCACCGGTGCGAGAGCGTAAAAATGGCTGTTGCACGGAACGAATCGCGAATTATCGAAGTTGCTGAGGCCGCGTAAACCCGCCAGCACAACAAAACAATTCTTCGACATCTGTGCACGCAGTCACTCTTTCAAGTTGCGCATTTCACGGGCCTTTCAAGCAAGCTACTCGACCTGCCTTCTACTCGCGTGATTTGGTTTTCAAGGTCTCCTTCCCGCTGTACCCGCCCCTCTTTTAACTCGGTTGCAACTCCTTGCCCTTCTCTCGCAAGTCTGCCGTTTTCCCTGTACCATAACGTCTTCGCCCGTCTCCACCGTTCTGCTACGCCAGCCTTGGTGGCCGGAATCCAGAAGTTTCGTTTTCCTACTAGAAACGGGCCCAGTGCTGTTCTACGCGTTTTGGCTTGTGTGTCGCGAGTGCGCGTCTTGCTCACTCTTGGTGTGCACGCGTGGTTAGGATGGCGGACCGGGGGCCCTCTGCACTTTTTTTAGCCTCTCAATAAATGTTGAAAGTGTGACCGCTTGGCTTGGGGTAATCCGCATTTTAGGTGTCGCATTGCGGAGTGCTTGCTCGTAGCTGTTGACCACCTGGCAGCCAACTTGCCGCTTTGGGCGTCCCTGTATTCAGATGTGGAGATGCGGCAATGACGACCACATGCATGCGAAACCCTTGCATGCGAAACGTGCATGCAAAACTACATGCATGCGAAACCCCATTGATTTTCACGTTGCAACAAGCAAGATTACTGAAATATAATTGCATCGACTTCGCATCACGGGAGAACAGTCCCAAAAGTAGCAGCGCACGTTTGGTTGTAATGCTGAAACGTTCTTCTAGGTGGCAGAAGTAGTGAAAGAGGAGGTACGGCAGGCACGCCAGACGGTGACTCTACCAACCGGCAGCACGGCAGACTTGGACACGATCACACGGGTGGTGAAAGAGGCCCTGGCCAAATACGATGCAGACAAGACTGGCCTACCGGACTATGCCTTGGAAAGTGCTGGTGAGTTCCTCTTTGTCCGCAAATAAGTCCACTACAAGCAAGTGCATTTCAATGTATAGCCTGCGACTTGGCTACAATTTCAGCACATCAGTTTGCAAAGAAATTTTTGACCATGTGGAAAGCCAAGTTTCAGTGTTGGTAGTGTAGACAAAGCTGTGTGTGAAATATTGCACTCTTTTGCATTGTAAACAATTGTTAGTTTATATGCTTGATGGAAAATGGAATACTGAATGCAGTCAATGGCCGAATTTTTTGGACAGTTTTGATCATTCGGGTGCCTGTTAGCACCCAAATTTTTGCTTTTACTGTTGGGCCATGCAAATAGCAAATTTTGGGTGTGAAGCAGATATTAATAATTCATTGCGAGTATGAATGGAATTGAATATTTCTAGAAAATGTGTCGAATACTTCAAAGCAGAATTGCAGAAAAGCGAGCTGTAGAGGATTACTAAACATATTCTTAGGAGATGGAAACATGAAAATGTGCCTTTTTTTCTGGTTTGATGAAGCGCTTGCTTGAAATGCCCATCCAAATGCCAAGAAGTCTACAGGCAATGAAGTTTGTAGCTTGAAATGAGGCACATTGCATCGTCTTCTCTTGCGCCTGTCCTCTAGTGTGATGCTCTTGTTCGCAAAGCCCAGATTCGACGCAGGTTCGTCTCGTGCATCTACGCCGGGAGCGTAGTTGGGGCTTGTATAACTTGTATCTGCATTGGCTGCCATGCTGAAGTATAGTCGAAATTAGGCCTAGCTAGAAAATTGTCAGATGCCGTGAATTCTGACTCATTTAATTGCTTAAGGTAGTGTTTTATTTATAGTACTCGAGTGCTGGCCTGAAGGTCATGAAATCGAATCTTGGGCGCTGTGGCCGCATTTTCGGTGGAGGAAAAAATGCTGGAGGCCTGTGTACTTGGATGAAGGTGCACGTTAACAAACCTCAGGTAGTCTGAATTTCCGTGACCCTCAACTGCACAACGGCATCTCTCAAAATCGTATTGTGGTTTTCAGATGTTAAACACTCATAATTATTTATGTTAGCCTTAGAATAAAGGTGTTTGATCAATATCAACAATTGCTGAAGTTTTGCATGTCAAACAAGGTGTGATTATGAGCCACACTGTAGTGTGGGTACCAGGATTAGTTGTGACTGCTTGGGGTTCTTTTAATGTGCACTTAAATCTACGTATATATCTCGCTCCCATCACAATGGGGCCGCTGTGGCTGGGAATGTATGTATACCACGCGAGCAAAAAAAATGGTGCAGCTTGCCCTTGCCTCTATTTTTCTTTCTACAGAAGTGAGCTCTGTGGTATCGATGCAGCGTGTGTCTATTAATGGTGGCGTGTCAGCACACACCAGTTAGGCACAAATCTCAGCAAGCAACCAGAAATTGTTGACAAGGGGATCACCATCATGGCACAGCACTGTCTCTTCAACACCATAAGCACATATAGGTGCAGTCCACTTTGCAGAGCTTCTCTATGTTTACCATTAATTTCCTGCGAGAGTAAGCTTCAGTTTTTTTTTCTTCTAAGCCACAGTGCAATATTACTGGAGCAATGGCTGCTTGAGCTGTTTGTGTCGAAATCAAGGCTAGGAACGATGCACACCCGTGTTCTCGCTTGGTACTCTGCAGCCGGTCGTTCAAGCACAAGTGGCTCAGTTGTGTCAAGACTTACTGCTAGGCACCCTTTCTTGGTGCACCACCGATTTATCACTGGTTTCTCATGTCGCGGCACCTGAATGCGCTCTATCAAGGCCATAATTTTTTAGAATAGAATTTGGAGTATGATAGGTATCATCTGCATTTTTTTGTTGATAATTTTGCTTTGAACAGTAAAAAAAGAAAATTATTCAATTTAACTGATACTCAAATTTTAATACTATTCAAATTCACTTAACACTCAAACTTTTTCTATCTGAGCAGCTGTAGTACTTTCTTGGGTTTTTTTTCTGTGTCTTGTTCAAATGTTGCTGCTGGTCTATCCGATTGCAATTAAATTATCTTAAGTTGACTATCCGGTTCCTCTCAAAGGAATGGGAACAAGGTGGTATGTGTGTTGTCCCCGACTCAATGCTGACCGCATTCCAATGTCGCATGCTCTCTGCAGGAGGCAGCGTGGTAAACACACGCTGCACGGACACTTACAGTGAGAGGTCACCAAAGTACTACATGTTTGGCCTTCCCCTGTGGACATTTTACCGCACGGCAAGGGAGGCTATAACGGTGAGTATCAGTTGTGCGCAGTTCGCCGTGATAAGCAGCATCTTGATATAATAAGTGTAGATAAATAAAAAATAAACATGCATGTCACTAACTTGCCCAAATTTCAAGTCCTCCAGATTTTGTGTATCTGAATGTTTGATTTCAAAAGTTCGCATGTTCACGTAATGTTTGATTTTAAAAGTTCGCATATTCAGGGGTGCAACAGCTGTGCCAATATGATACAATTCTCATTTTTGCCCCAAGATGAGCCAGAACTGTAAAATTTGTTGAAATTGTGTCATGCCACACCGAAGTTTCCAACCAGATTCGAAATTTTCTCTGTTGCATCAATTTTGGAGAGAAATGGAAGCCGCATTGGCCATTTGAAGTTGGAGCTAATATTGTTATCTAATCCTATCCAGATGCACAAAAAGCATTTGTAAGATTTGTTGGCCTTGTTTTAAGTGCAGAGTGCTTTTTAAGTCACTTTCGCTACGGTACACCAGTGTCTTTGGTGTAAAAGCACACTAAAATATAGAGAAGATTGATAGTACTAGCTGTCATGGGACACAACACATCTTGTTCCTTAAATACTAATGCATGCACATGCCATATAATTATGACTGCTAGTATAATTGCTGAGGTCTATTTAATTACTGGGTCTCATTCAGAGCTGTGTATGATGTCTCTTCGGCCATGAGAAATTACGAACACGCATGGTGGTTTTTTGACACCCCCACTGGCTCCTGCTTTACAAATCTTTTGAATTTTTGAGATCTCCAGGTTGTACGGTCCCCATAAGCATTTGCAGAACCTGCAAGGGATTTAACAGGTGCTGCAAATGTTGATGTAGGCTTTGTCATTGTTTGCACAGCGGGTGGTTAAACACGCTGCTTCTATTGAAATAGCAGTGCTTGCTTGCGCTGTCCGCAAGTAGTGAATGGTTTGTACATGTCCCCTACAGCAGTGGTGGCTACGCTTTTTCTGTGCCAACTTGTGGCCAAAAGAGTGAAAAATGCTCTCTAGTTGAACCTTCTGCACACTCAACAAACACGCTGCTTCTATTTAAATGGCAGTGCTTGCTTGCGCTGTCCGCAAGTAGTGAATGGTTTGTACATGTCCCCTACAGCAGTGGTGGCTACGCTTTTTCTGTGCCAACTTGTGGCCAAAAGAGTGCAAAATGCTCTCTAGTTGAACCTTCTGCACACTCAACACAGGGGCGCAACAGCTGCACCGAGTGTGCCGATTAGATACAATTTTTCATTTTGCACCGAGCTGTGCCAAGACCATCAAATTTGCTGAAATTGTGCCACGCTGTGCTAAAATGCCAAACCAGCCTTAAAGTTTACTCAGTTGCACTAGGCCACATTGGCCACTTGTACCTCGCGCCATAAATAAATCGAGGGATCCAGGCGCACAGACCCTAACCAGGAAAACGTGCAGAGCTAAAGCTTTATTACGAGTCAATGGCAATGACGAGGGAGAGCTATTAGTGGACGCTGCGGTACTTTCCAATCTCTAGGCATGTACAGGCGTGACAGTAAATGAACAGCGTAACCCATGGTGTAACCTAACCAGGGTGCATTGTACTCGGTAGGTCTGGACACTCACAAGATAAAATATATGAGATAAAGTAACAATGCCGCACGCCCATCGGTCTGCGAACACCGGCATTGCTGGTGACTTTGTTGGTTGCCGTAGCAACAGCGCATCCAATAGATAGCCGGTGCAGTTCTGGGCCATCGGGCATGTGCCATTGTTGCTTTATCTAGTCGAACGCTTTCAAGTAAGTCCAGAGGTTGTGCTCTAAACCTAACCTCATCGTGAAAGAAAAAGTGTGGAGGGGGGTGTAGCAGTTCGAAAATTTCTTGGCCTTGTTCTGACCCACGTAGAACACTATGTAAGGCACTTTTGCGGCAGTACACTGGTGTTTTGGGGGAAACCGTTTTAAGATTTGGAAGCTGCTTTTAGCATAAGTCACAAGACACTGCACAGTATGATTACTAATGCGTCTATATGCCACATAATTATGAGTATTAATAGGATCGATGACATTTAAAAATTTACTGGCCTTCACTTAGAGCAGTGTATGACATCTCTGCTGTCCTAAAATATCAAACAAAACTGTGTGCCACTTTTTTTTTTAGAATCCCTATTAAGTTTTACCAATCTCCCAAATCTCAAGATCACTAGCTTGGCAGATCTGTAGATGGATTCAATCGCTATATCAAGTATCATGGCACCAAAGCATCATAGTAAGGGATTTATTTTAAAGCATGCAAAAGTGGATGGTGCCATCTTTGTTAATTGTTATATACTATATATTGTACTAAACAGTACTGTTATAAGTGTACTCAGCTGTAGTCTGTTAGCAATCCCCCTCTATTTTCTGTAATGGTGGTTTCACTGTAGAGGAAGGGTGCTGTGCCATGTATTAAAAGAACGCGAGAGACTGACTCAGACACAGGAGGCCCATTCGAACTTCATCCTTTATTAAACGACTTCTTTTTTTACATTCTCCCAGCCCTCCCAAACTGATGGTATCCCTAGAGGGTACAGTTTTTGCACGGGCCTGGTAATTTTCCCCTCTTGAGTTTAAACTCGGCATGCTCGTACCAGTCTGTCGCGTCCAGGATATACCTCTGTTATTTTTCCAAGTGGCCAAACACATCGTGATGCATTGGGCTCCTCGACAATCACTATGTCATCCACCTTAAGCCTTTATCTGACGCTGTTGGGTAGTGATAAAGCGAACGAAACTCAAGCAAATATTCCTTCCTCCAACAACCCCACAGGTGCTTGAGCAGCATGCTGCTGTGCCGTAGTCTTTTAGTTAGGTTGTCCTGGCTTGTCAGCAAAGTCTGGTTCTGGTATTCCTTGCCGCTATCAGCCGATACCGCCAATAGAGACCTTCTGACGAAAAAGTTGGCTGGAGAGATCACAGGAGGCTCTCTAGTGTCCACTGACGTACAAGTCAGTGGCCTCGATATGATAATGGCCTCCACTACGACAAGCTTTGTTGTTAGCTGTTTGCTATCGAGTGTTTGTTTTCAGAGTATCTTGCTAAGTGCCGACTTCACTGATTGTATCAATCTCTCCCACCATCCTCCCCACCACGGTGCACTTGGTACAATGAACTTCCATTCTGTACGAGGAGAAGCAAGGAAAGTAGCGAAGGGAGATCCATTCATGACACTCCAGATGTCTTGCAAGTCTTGCGATGCCCTCTTGAATGCATTGTCAGAGTAAATAGTAAGAAGAAATCCTCTTCGTGATATTGTCACGGGCACCTCCCCTCAGCACTTCGTCGTCGTCATCCTCAGATGCCTGAGGATGACGACGACGAAGTGCTGAGGGGAACGTGCTCGGACTGCAGCAGCGTTGTACGCATTTGCTCGCCAGTATATTCATCGTGTATACTTTATTCCCCGTAACATCATTGTTGGAGGTGCGGGGTACTCGCTATACAGCTCCAGGAGCTGGATCTTCGCAGCGGACGACGCATTGCAGCTGCCACGATGACGGACCAGGCTACTCAATGTCAACAAGATCCGTCAGCCCTGCAACCGATCGTTGTGGTGCAACCTTGTGACCCAGGCCCATTCAACGGCACAAGTGGCATAGCCGTTGATGACTGGCTGGTTCTATTTGAGCGCGTCAGCAGCAGCAACCATTGGGATCCGACCCTTATATTGGCGAACATCATCTTCTACTTGCATGGCACGGCAAAACTCTGGTACGAGACACTTCAAGAAGAGTTGACCAGCTGGGATGTCTGTAAGCAGAAATTACGCTATCTATTTGAGAAACCCATCGGACGTCAAGTGGCCGCAAAGAAAGAGCTTGCGACTCGTGCCCAGACATCCACAGAGCCGTACATTGCGTACATCCAGGACGTGTTGGCTTTGTGTCGCAAGGTCGACAAGGACATGCTCGACAAGGACAAAGTCGGGCACATCCTGAAAAGAATTGCCGATGAGGCCTTCAATTTTCTGCTTTGTAAGGACTGCTCGACGGTGGAGTCAGTCATCGAAGCATGTCGTCGCTTCGAACAGGCGAAAAATAGGCGCATAGTTCTTTGATTTGACTGCCTTCACAACACGGCGGCTACGTCCTCCTGCGAAGATTTGCCCATACTACATTAACCACCAGCGCCGGAAAACGTCACCAGAATAGTCCGTCGGGAACTCGAGGCTATGGCACCTGCTGCGTCTAGCGTCAGCGCGCCAGGACACAACCTCGATGCTGTTTCAATGATACAGGCCGTAGTTCGCCAAGAGATCGCGAATATGGGCATTTCGCCACCTCGTCAAAATGCCCCTGCTACTTCCAGCTCGGCTCCAGTCGTTGCGGCTGCCACTCCGAACCGCACGTTCGCGCCACGACGAAACCCAGCTGAATGACGCACTCATGATGATCGGCCCATATGTTTCACGTGCCATCGGATAGGACACATCGCTCGCCATTGCCGCAGCCGTTGGACCTCATCACCTCGACCGAGCTTCTATGATTGGGGACCTCACTCCGAACGTGCACCTTATGCCCCGTCCTACCGTGCTGAGACAGGTGCAGAGCATAATCCAGAACGCCGGACCAGCCGCTCGCCATCGCCCGTGCGTCGTCAGTCCCGCTCGCCCCAACCCCGCCGTTCTCGATCTCCCTACTACCATCGCTTGGAAAACTAGCTGGTGCAGCCCCCGGAGGTGACGCTGCATACACGACTCGGACTGAAAATCCTCTGATTACTCCCGACCAGCGGTGCAACCTTCTTACAATTCTCGTTGATGGTTTACATGTAACTGCTCTTATTGATACCGTTGCATAAATATCTGTGATGAGACCTCTGCGGCCGCCTCGAAAAAGTTCTGACGCCTGCGATTGCACCTACCGTTCGTACAGCGGATGGGAGTACTCCTGCTGTGCTTGGAATGTGCACTGCGCGATTAACGATTTCTGAGCATCAAACCAGTTCTGTTTGCTGTACTGGAAAATTGCCCTCATGACCTCATCCTTGGACTCGA